ATATTTTTATAAGTTACGATAAATTACAACTTTTCTCTTCTCGGCAAATTATTATTCTTGAAATAATTATTTATATTATAATTGAAAATGCGTCATGAAATGTTAAAAACAAATTTTTATTTTTTTCACTTAAAATTTTCAGCTATCTACGATGCAGACATTATCAAACTAGATTTTGCCAAGGACGAGGAAAAATAGTTGGTGGTGTTTTTATCATCACAAACATTCACAATCACGCACCAGTAGCGGATTTACAAATTATACGTAAATTTAGGAAAAATTTGAGACAAGCTTGTGAGACGCAATTTCGTAGTCCGCGCGAAATCTATAACTCATTATCACCGATGTAAGTTTTTCATGACATTTATTAAATTTACTTCTTTTAAAGATTATTTGACTTAATGATCCATTTATTTTTGTCTTCTCCTATTTACTATTTATTTATTTATTTATTTATTTATAGATATCCCGATGCAGCATTAATTGTCACATGGGAAATTATTCATAGAACAATGATACGATGGCAGTTAAATAGGAGTTTTCCAAACGCTCCATCACTAGTTCAATTAATGGACATTTTGAGTCAACCTATGTATCAACAATTAATGATTCATGAAACCAGTGAAATGAGTGTAAAATTAGTAAGACCAAACGGTGTAGATCAAATTTTTGGAGTAGTTATTACTGACACACAGCTACCAGCCAGAATCGTCTCAAATAATAGTCCAATTTTTATTTCAATTCATCGATTAAATGTCCCATTAGGTATGGACATTTTTGAAAATTTGGCAATTATTGTTCCACATCAAAATCATGTAAGTTTATTCATATTATATTGTTTAATATAAATGAAAAAATTAAGATAATAAATTGGGAAGGCAAGAAAGATAGATGAAGAGAAATAAGAAGCTAAAAAGATCAAATTTAGAATAGTAATGGTTGTATTTATGTTAATAACGAACAAAGTTAGTAAAACGAGTTATAGAAGAGATAGATAAGCAGTAAAGAAAAGTATTTTTTGCAGTCTTTTTCAGTTGGCTGGAGTTTTATCAGCAATACCAATGAAAATACCTATAGTACAATAATTGGAAAAATGATGGAGGAAATAGGTGAAAATTTCAATCCTCCAAAAATAATTTTTAATTTCAACAACAGAATTTTCCAATATTTACGAGGAGCTTTCACGACTGAGACAATTGTAAGAGGCAGCTTTTCATCTCACTGCCACGTACGTAAAAATCATATATAGTATTACTGAAGCACTCATGAAGTTAATGAATTATTGTCATCATTGTTACTTTTGATTATTTTTATACAGATAATTCTTCAGCAAGCAGTACTGATGAATATTGAATTCAACCATGATAATTTAGTAATTATTCAAAAACTAATTGCTTTAAGTTTACTACCACCTGAAAGAATTTATGAAGCATTTATTTCATTAAGGAGTGCGATACCTGGCAACATGGAACAACTGAAACAGATTTTCCAGTATTATGATAATTATTGGATCATTAATATTGGTCCTGAAAATTACAGTTTTTATAGTGATGAAGAAGCCCTATTTAACAGTGAAGATGCTCAATGGGAAATGATTGAGAGCATGATACATAACCGGGATAGAACCATTTGGGACTATTTAAGTAAAACATCTCAAGAAAATATAGTAAATTATATGATATTAATCTTCTATTCATTGATCATGAAAATTTTTCAGAAACATTTTTTACGGTGACTCAAAGATCTCATTCTACACTTAATCAAATAGCTAATGAAGATAGAAGATCAATAAATAAAATTCCTCGAGTTCGATACGTCATCCATCGACCCAGTATTCTTCGTTTATGGCATTTAATTGAGAACAACCGAATAAATATCTCTCATTTCCTGGCTGCATGTACTGGATTGTTAGAATCTTTTATTAATGATCTAATATTCAAAGGAATATATCCTGATGCCGATTTTGAAATAGTCAGATATGATAACATTCATAATCGTAAGTTAAATATTTGAAATATAATACTTAAACATTTTTTGAATATTGAACAAAAGAATATAGTATATTACAGAATATTCGATATATAAAAATTTGAGTATCACTTATCTTGTACTTGGTACAGAATTAATTCCAGAGTTTGAAGTTGAGCCGATAGCTATTTTAGCAGAACTGCACGTCAACGGATTACCTCGACGCCAAGAAGTCTTGAATAACATATTATGGCGAAACCGACTAGTTGAAGGTAAGGGAGTAATGACCAACAATTTTTTATAATACAATTTCATCAATGTAAAATTATCCAATTTATAATAAATATTTCAGAAGGTAGATTCGTTACAGACGATGGAAGATGCATAGGGTGTGTTGGGAATGTAGTACAAACTGAATTTCTACCATGTAGACATTGCGTATTGTGTGAAAGGTGTACTGAAGAGTTAAGAGAAACAGCAACTAGAGACGGACTTCCACTGAGATGCCCTATTTGTCGAGCTGATCCGGTTGAAGTGAGGCGAATTGAATAATTATTTCAAGCTGCATCATAATAATTAGCAGCATCGTCTTTTCAGAGTGAATAATAATAAAGTAGTATACTATTTGGTTTTTAATTTGACGGGTTATAAGTAAATCTAACATTAAAATAAGTTTTTTATATTATCTTTATATTTTGTTAAATATAACAAGGTAAGAGAAGATACGACAAGCCATTTTTCTTTAGGCATCGCTCTATAGAACTATTGTTGAAAAGTCGTTCTTCTAATTTTTCATTTTTTCTTTGTTGTGGAGCAACAAAAGTATTATAAAGTAATGACTAACATTATTCAAGTTTTTTTAATTACTTATTTTTTTGTATTATGTTTGTACTTGAGAAGGTATTGACGATAACATTGTAAGTTACAACGGATAATTTTAACATAGTCGAAATTGTTAGTTGTAATCAGATTTTTTAAGATAGACTATTATTGATCAAATAGGTTTATAAGTTGAGACATAATATAAGTAATAATGAATTTTCAAAATTATTGAATTTTAAAATGAATAGAGATCAACAACTCAGATTTATATAAAAGAATTTTTAATTTCGAAATATTCATTATTACAATTTACATGACAGTAATTGATAATAGATTATTTTTTTATGTTTACATGCATAATAATGGTGTTTTTTTTTTTAAAAAAATTGGATGAAAAAAAAATATAAGATATCGTCAAAAAATATTTTTATTCATAATAAAGTTAAATGCTTTTTAATACAGTTTGATATAAAGAATATTATCTGAAATGTATTCATTTTTATAAGTGAACAGTAAACTGTTAATTGAAATTACTTTTATTCTCTTACAATGTATGTTATTTCTATTTCAATAAATTTGTTCGATATATACAAAGAAAGAGTTCTTTATGAGTTTTGTAATTAATTATAAAATGTAGTTTAATTTTTTTAGTTTAATATTGATTTATTTCAATTATTATTAATTCATTTATTCTGTTTGTGTAAATGCTGAAACTCATTTTCTATTGACAATATACAGTCAAAGCTCGATGTAGTTAACCCAAAAAATGTTTTTATTATATATGAAAATAGGTCTCTGTGTACACAATTAACAGAATTATAGATAATTTTCATTTATTTTCTGTAATAATGATCTAATATTATAACAATTGTTCGAAAATATATCAGTTTATGACTGTTATCTTTTATCAGTTACTTTAAGAAATTTACTTTACCTACCGCGAAATTTGATTACCTACCGTTGGTAATATCTCGTTTCAATGTTATCGATATAGTTTGTGGATAAAATGACTATTAGAGATTTTTTTCTTTGGATACAATTGTCATTAAATATTTTAAGCATTTTCATAATCAAACTGTGGGATAGTTTATCATTGTATCTATAAGTTCTTGATTTATATCGTTACATAATCGAATTATGCATAATCATTTATGTGAATGTTGTCATTGATAATGGTGTTCTTTATAGTTGTACTAAATTTACATTAGACATAACTTCTCATAGGAACTTTTAGTTTTGGTCATTAGAATGTAGCTGTCGTTAATGTCTTTCCTGAATCTATATGGCACCCGCGCTTTTTATTGAACTCTTGTTTTCATCTCCGGTGGAAACACTCTCATCTCGATCCATGTTTTATTCAACTCGCCTCCGGTAGAAACTAAGCCAATTTCAATTGAAATCGAGCTTCGGCCTTCTGCCTCCCAACGCGAAGGCGCAAAGTCAACTTCGGAACTTTTTTAAGTATAGCCAGAGAGAAGTCTTCTCTCTGGTATAGCCCAGTCTTAAATAATTCAAATTTCTAATATCATACCAAAAACAGCTCCACGGACTGTACAAAACTGTGCGCCAAGTTTAAATGACGAAGACGATAATCTGTGTTCTTAAAATGCTATTATCGTAAATGTACATTATTTAACAAATTACAAAAAAGCGTAAAATCATTAAATGCCAAGTATTGTATTTCGAATATTAGTCACATTTATTAAGGTAAAATAGATTCATTTTATTTGAAAAAGTTTTTAATTGTTTAGAAAATTTAAAAATCACTTTTGATACTTAGAAAAAAAAGGTACCTTAAAGAACATGTGAAAAAGAGAAAAATACATTGTGTTAAAAATTAAAAAACATAAAAAAAACACATCCAAATATATTTAGTAATTTTAATTGTAATATTTTGAAACTTGAAAAACTTGGCGTGGCTATTACGACGCATCAGTAACGTTAAGGCTATAGAATAGACAATGACGTAAATAAAGTTATCAATAATAAATATTAATTACAATTATTTTCTTCAATAAAAAAAAAACAAAACTTGTAATTTTTTCAATAATGTACATTTACGATAATAGCATTTTAAGAACACAGATTATCGTCCCCGTCATTTAAACTTGGCGCACAGTTTTGTACAGTCCGTGGGGCTGTTTTTGGTATGATACTGGTCTCTCTTCTCTGGTAAAACAGTATATTTAGTATTCTTTGGTCTAACCTTAAAATATTATTATTATTGTTATTATTATGGAGCTCTATTCTATACGTTTATCAATTTTGGAGAAACTTTTTTTTTAATTTTACTCGAATGTCACTTGAATAAGTAATTATAATATAAAAGATTAAATTTTTGTTAAAAAGTTATTTATTTATTTGGATAGATAAAATGATACTTTGCAATATTATTTATAGGTCAATAGTATGGAACCATCCTTCATTGAATCAGGATTAGAACTTCTCGCTAGATTAGAAACGCGACTAACTCTTCATGCTTTGGAAAATATTTTATTTCCAAATGGATTACCGAGAAATGCAACTATTGAACTTTGCGGTAATTTATCTAGCGGAAAAGTTATTTTATTCACTCAGCTCATAGCTAAATGTATTTTGCCCGTAAAACATAATGGAGAAACAATCGGAGGTCTTGGAGTTAGTGTTTTATTTATAAATACAAATTATCACTTTGTGATTACAAAGCTTAGAAGTTCCATCATAAATTTTTTATATCAGAGAAAAATTCCTGACTTGACACCAGGAACAATAGATACAATCGTCAGACGATCACTAAGTAATTTAATTATTATAAACTGCTATGATAGTTCATCATATTTTTTAACACTTCAAACATTAGATGATATTTTATCAAGTAATAAAAACATTAGTTTAGTAGCAATTGATAATATAACTTCCTATTACTGGGAAGATAGACAAAAAGGTGGTAGTTGGATGATGAATCGGTATATTAGAAACACTTTAAAAATTGTTCAAAACCACACTTTTCAAAGAAATATTTTACTTCTTTATACTAGAGTAAGTGACTCAACTTATAAAGATAATATTCAATGTGTTGATAAATCTGAATTAGAAAAAATTAACTTCCGGATAAATTTGCAACATAATGAAGAAAGTAATACTTATTTGTGTACAGTTGAATCTCGAACTCAAACAAATAATATTTACTATACAATTGATTCCAATGGAATTATGTGGAATAAATCATTATAATACTTATAACATTAGCACCTAATTTATTAAATTATTTTTTATAAAAATTATTCAAATATCAAATATTTATACTACTCGACCAAAGAATGTTATCACCAATGTCTGAAGGATTTAGTAATCTGCAGCCAGCCAATGTTATTTGTGGAATATTGGATTTTTGATTGATTATTTCTTTAACTATTTTTATTTCTTCGGGTGTTATTCCACCCAGAATGTAAATAAGTATCCAAGGATTATCTGTAGGATGATGAGTTGTTCTGCCTTTCAGAAGTAAACTATAAAAAAGATGGAATTTATGAAAGATTGAGTAAATATTTTATGATAAGTAAAATATCAGATTGCTGACCTTATCCCTGCAGAAATTAGTGATGAATTTTTTTGCCGTAGGTCTTTTATTTCAGGTTTATTTGGATGTAATACATCATTCAAAAGCCGTTCGACTAAACCGAACGACTCAGCCATTTCCTGAGGTGATGATTTCGTAATCATTGATCTATAATTATTCAAAGGTACTAATTATAAGAATAATTATTTTTTCATACAGTACATCATTCATACAATACAGAAACTTTTTTGAATTACCCGTAATTAGATAAACTCTTTCGTTGTTCTGCAACAGCATGAAGCACATCCATTACGTGGTTTGTAATGATTTCTGCTGATCTTTCTGCAGCTTCTTTATCACTTACACCTATAACAATATTAAATCAGTACGCCGAAATAATATTGGTGATAAATAAAAAAAATTTTTGTTTAATGTACCTAAAAGAAGTAATGTTTGTTGATATACTGAAACTTCATGGGTTGTGACAATCTCATTGCATTTTTTAATATCTTCAAAAATTGCATTCTTTAAGGAACTTCGTAATTGATTTTCTTGATTTTCTGTGAAATGGATTTCTGTACCAGACAGTGAATAAATGTGAATCAATAGAACAAAAAGATTCTCCATGTCTAATCCTTTCGTTGACCTCGTTTTTATTATACTACTAATCTACAGCAAAAATAAAAAAGTTATGAAACAAGAACAATTTTATAATCATTATTAGCTTCGACATAAATCAAATACCTGTGATAAAGTAGTTGTTGATTCTCGACTAATAGCTAAATTTTGTAAGATTAATTTTTCCAAACTTATCAATAATTCTAAAGCTGCTGTCTTTTCAGATTTTAACGCTTGTATCACAGCCATAATGATTTGAAGTTTTTTACTATTTTTTGCAAGATCTGTAATATTTAGAGAGTCACGAACTTTGTGCAATAATTTTTCAAGACTATGTGCGCTAATTCTTAATGATAACTTTGCTTTGAGACTTAAAATTTCAGTAGATGCCATTTCAAAAAGCCACTTATTCAATGTGAGTAACACATCCTTTTGTTTTTTAGAAATTAATATATTAAAAACTTCATTATTATCTGTTGCTATACATCCAGGAACTGTCATTGACAATGGACTTTCCTAAAATAATAGAGATTATGAATGAATAAATTGTGCATCGTTAATAATATTACATTAATTATATAAATGTAGGAATTGAATTTACTGCTAAGTCTGGGCAAAGTGGAGTCATATTTACAGCGACATCATTTTTATGGCAAGGTAAATGTGGCAAAGTTGATAAAACTCTGGATAAAATACATTCCGTATTATTTTTTGTAGCTGTACATAAATCTAAAGTTCGGTCAACTAAAATTAAAGTCACTCCTGATGATCCTATCAGCCGCTATAACAATTAAAACATTGTAGAATAGAGTCTTTTAAACTTGTGTAGAAACATCCCGTAATTTTGCAAATGTTCAACATACGTTTCTTCTATCAATTGCAGCTGGTAGGTTTATTAGTTCTTCAGCAACATATTCACTAAATTTACCCATAAAGTAGATATCTTCTTTTACATTAAAATGTGTAAAAAGACTGTGAAGTAAGCTTACAAAATATTTTACATTAGTTACATAGTCATCGGAAATATTTCCATCAACTGGAGGCAATAATTTATCAATTGGTGGAGCTACAAAAACATTCTTCGTAATTGGTGCAATGAATATTGGTCGAAAAATAATTTCTACGAATGGTTTCTGTAAACAAAAAAAAATTCAGTATATATCCATATATTAAAATTGATAAATTTATGATCACTATTGAATAAACAATTGTTTTAGAAAATTATTATTACTTTTAATATTTCAGTATCATTCATACAGCTTAAAATGTTTTTTTTCAACATTTCATAACTATTGTCATCGCCCTCCAATCCTGATGTATAAGGTAAAATTGAATGATGTATTGCACAGATTATGGTACAAGTATCAAATGTATTTTTTTGAATAATAATATTTAAAGTTCTGTGATAAAATGCTGAATCTATGGAAGTTGTAATGATGACAGCTTTATCGGTGCCATGAACTTTTACGTACTGAAATCAATAATACAATATGTTTTAGTAATATTTCTATTATTTGTATCATAATTTCGATTATTATTACTTGAAAATTAAACATAGCCATCTCATGTACTGAGTGTGCACCAGCAGCAATTAATGACAAGTAAGATCTGTCACCTTTGAGCCAGTGTAAACACTCAATTGCTGGATGATCAATATACACAGCGGCTCCCTGTATTTTCGATAAAACATCTTGCCAACAAGCATCAGCGAATTCAGATATTTCATATTTTTTAGTCATTTTCAAAAATTTAATGTTATTATATGTATAATTAAGTTAACATTATCACTGACACATACACATTACTCCATTTCATGTTTACTTTTTACGAGTACAGAAATGACAAGTAGAGTGATCTTGTGTTGATTTTTGAAAGCACCATTTTAATGGCGGTAAAGTTTTTTGATGCAACTTGATAAATAATTTAATTAATTATGACATATATTTACTTTATTTAGTTGTTTTTTTTTTTTTTTTTTAAAAAAAGATGCTCAAGTTACTAATCTGCGTACAAGCTAGTATAACCTGTATGGCATAACCATAGCTGTTCACCTTTATTTTGTCTTGGTTTATTTTCAAGATGTTTACATACTGCTGGTGTCAACATGCTAAAATAAACGATTTTTTTCACCCGTCGAATCAAAACATTATCATAATTGTTCATTAATTTTTTTATGGTAAGAAAGTAATTATGACATAATTAATTTTCTATATCACTTTTTTCTGATAGTTGAAAAACCACAATTCATAACATTTGTAAAAGTTGATGAAAACTAACTAAAAGAATTCAGATTTTATCCAAATAAGAGTGAAAATGATAAAAACGGCAGTCTTAAGCGAATAAATAAATGCATATAGAATTACAGAGAAAATTAGAAAGTGAAAATAAACTACGATTTAAAATGACTTGCGCATTGTAACCTCTAAAACCTCTCTTGAATTTCAGGTGGTAGTGAAAAATCACAGAGAAGTAGGGGCTGGTAGGGGTATAAGGGTGGTAGAGATGGTGCAGAGGGTGAATATAATGGCAGGGAAGTACATGATTCGCTCCAGTAGATCACAGTAAATGGTCGTAACAGTCGCGCATCCAGTCGTCGCGATGGAGCTTCGCGAGCTGAGTGGTGGAACAGCGGAAGAAACTGTTGAACTTTTACGGAGCCAGGATGACGACGAGAGTTATTTTGTTGAATATGCAATACAAAAAGCAATTATTAATCGTAACCGATGGCCTGCCAGTCGTCGTCTTTTAAGTCAAGTCGCGTTTACGGACACAGCAAACAGCAATCATCAACCACCAAAGGTGTGCGAATGACATGATTAAAAGCTCATTTTTTCCTGCATCAGATTATGCAGTGATGAGCAGTGACAGCTCAACAATTTGCCAAACATGCAACCTGCTTAAAGATTTTTTTATTTTTCATGAAAGAAACATGACAAATTATTCTTGTAAACACGTGTGGTCTGTTTTTATTTGTTCCAACCTTAATTCATGCGGTGATTCCAGTTTTTTCTGTCATTAATATTATACATAAGTAATAGTTTTGAATTTTCATTTTTTATGCTCATTTTTATTTACAGATTGCACATTTTGTTGCAATTAATTATAACGCAGTGAGTGTACAAGTGCGTGTATGTGTGGGTGTTCCAGGACTTTCCAGTCATCAGTTTCATTCATACTGCTGGTCCAAACTGGCCTCCGTCACGAAAAAGAGAAGAGGCTCAAACATTGGAGAACCTGAGGAAACGAGTGGAACAATCAAAGTTGTACAAAGCAAATCAAGTGTCTGATCCGGGAGGCAAAACATCTACTAAAGTTCAATTGACCGAAGAACAACTCGAACAACTTGATAATAGACCAAAGCTTTTTAGAAAGGTAAAATAATTGAGTATTTACACTTTTTAAATGTTCATATTCTTTAGAAAATTAATAAATTCCTAATTGATTTTATCTTTCATGAATGTTATTAATGTCAAAAAAGAACCAATAAATAAACTGGTATACGTTCAAAGTTCATGATTGCCAAAAATTCAACACACTTAAATTTGTTCTTTAAATTTAGCTGACGAATTTCTTCTGGAATTTTCCGATTTCATGGACAAATTTTTTATTGCCAAGCTTTTTCTACCATATACAGATATTGAATTTGCTGTTATTTTTTATTTTTCTTATAACTCGAAAAATTCCAAGGTAACTAGGAATTTATTTATGACTTTGTTTACTACGAAATATCTGCTAGAATGTATATATTCAGGAAACGTTCAATAACCAGAAAACATTTGTTACGAAACGATTTATGATCTATCATGAATAAGTAAAATCTTTTTTTTATTTATCTCAACTAAAATTTATTATGATTATAAAATTTAATTATTTATTAATAGAAGCCAATAAAAAATTACCCACCGAATTAATTTTATATTGAAAATTTATAAATCTCCAGCTAAATGCTTATTAGTTTTTATTGATAGATTGTAATAAAATCGCAATCGTGCGTCAAAATTTCATGGCTTTGTGACAGTAATATTCAAATTTATGTAGAAATAATTAATTTTGAATACAATCCAAGTATATCACTTTTATTAATCAATCGTCATCAATAAATATATTCACTTAAAAAGCTTGGTAGCTCAATAAGAACTTTTTCCATTTATGAGAAAACTTTTATGCACAGATTTGTGATTAAAAATAATTAAACAAACACATATATTATCAACACCATTGAGACAACAATGCTAGTTACTAGGACTGCAATTTGGGTTCTGCTTTCAAGTGTGAACCTTCTTAAAAATATTGAAGGCCGTGAAGGATATTGGGTAGCTATTTCTTCTCTTACTACTGTGGAAGGAGATGCCTCCACAGCAACTTCGTTCATGTCTTTCTCAATCTAAAATTTTAAGTTTTTATTCTTTTAATGGTTTACTCAGCATCTATATTTATTCTACAAATTACTAACATCTATTGGAATTTAATTTAAAAATACAGTATTTATTATTTTACCGAAATATTAACTTTTAGTGAATCGTTTTCAGTAGCTTCATTTAGATCAGGTCCAAATGATTGTAATTCTCGTTCTTTTATGTCCTTAAAACCATTGTTATCTTCAATCATTTGATTGATAGGGTCTTGGGGTAAATTGATGTTAAAAAAGCATTCTTCACTGACAGGTGTCATGTCCAAAGTAACGTGAGGTATATTTTCTAAAGAGATAATAATGCCTTCAGGCATAAAGGGTGGTGCTTCTGCTCTCAATTTAGTGCTTGGGTATGGAAAAGGAGCAGTTTCAGGATATTTGTTTATCAATGAATCTCCTCCTGTGTATTGTACAGCGTATTGGTTTTGCAAAACATTTTTTATAAATTTTTCATCTTTATCACTAATTGATTTAGACTCTTTTATATTACTCATGGCACAATCTTTATTTATTACGCCTGGAAATGGAAGTAATAATATTGAATGACATTTATATCGATTTAGCAATAATGAAGGTAGTTGAGTACATTTATATTTATACGTTGAAAGATTTTTTATTAAAAAAAAAGTTTTATTAAAGATTTGCAACATTTTCACATGTGACGTTAGTGAAAAAACACGTGAAAAAGTTGTTATAAAAACGATTTACCTGGTTCAGTGAAAGGCGTAGTACAAGATTTACTGGTTGATAATGGAAGAAAATCCATTCAAATGCAATAGAAATTAAAATATAAGTTTGTATATTTTTTCCTCTAAAATGTGACGTCAATTTTAATGACAGTTAAACAAAAGCCTGTAGCATGGGTATATTCTTGATATTTTATAAACGACGAGTAGTGAAGAGTGGAATCTGCGAAGCCATACCAATAAATTTAAATAAATTTTACCCAAGACTTTTATCAGATTTAAAAGTAATTCGTATTTCAGCATTTCTTTTTTATACAAATTGAGAATGGACTGATAAAAAAATACCAATAAAAGCTACAACAAAAGATTATTTTCAAAAAAAAAAAATCAAATAAAAAAGCAGTGTGATTTTTTTTTAATTATTCCAATATTAAAATAAATAAAATGTTAGACAAATTTTTCATTCAAAATAGTTAGTAGAATTGTTAAAGTTCTTTATAAAGGATTGCATGTAGTAATAAAATGAAGTAATCAAGGAAATTAAATGTTTAAATAAATTTTGCTAATTTACATCAGTTAAAAGCTATTGAACCGGAATCTGATAATAACTTTACTCCCTCACGCTAGGGTTATTCATAATAAATAATTTTTTAGATTCCTTAGATTAATTCTAAATGACGAAGCAATCTTAAATACATAGAAATCAAGACAAAACGAATTCCTAAAGATTTTTATCGATTAACGAAAAAAACCACAACTAAATTTTATTCTTTATGGTCTGAGTATAATGTTTTTTATCATTTTTTTTTCAGCTGACCTTAAATATGAGCAAAAACAAGCCATAAAACTGGTTAAATCTAAATAAAGGAAAATTTATTTTTACATTTTACAGAGATGGGCTGTCTTATTTGAGGTTTTTCCTTATTTTTACTGAATGAATCTTAATAATAATGCCAACTTCCATTATTCATAAATAAGGGCTTTTGATATTTTCATTCATTATAGAACGAATGGTGCTGAAACCAACAGTTAGTGCTATAAACCAGTAGTACAATATAGACTATGGTCAGACGTGGATGTACATTAATGATGAAAACAACAAATTTCAGTTTTTAGACTCATTAATAAAAAAAAAACTTAGTTAAGAAAAAATTATGATTAAAAAACATTTTTAAGAATGTCAAAAAAAAAATCAATTCGATGTTTTTATGATAACAATCATCTCTTTCCTATAAATTTGCAAGTCAACCATATCAAAATACCTTTAATTAACCACTATGGCACTTTGAAAAATTGAATAAATTATATTAGAGAATAGAAACAACACGAACAGTAGTTGTGTGTAGATCCTATCAGTCCTCGAAGAACGTTTTATGTAAATCTACTCCTAGAGCCAAGGATGATCTTCAACTATCGTAAAACCTTGACCGAATCTAGTTTTAGGTGTGATTTTTTTATTGAATAACTTTTACTAATCAATACAGCTTTCTTTTGTTTTAGAAATTCATTCATTGCTGTTTTATATAATACCTATATCATTTTTTTTTTGTTATTTCATCGCTTGATAACTATTTTTCTTTAAACCAATTTTGTTACAAAAAGTTAGTAAAGTCAAACAGAGTTGGAGTTTAATCCCTATAGATTATGCAGAAGAATTTATACAATAAGTTATTAAAAATAAAGCTTTAATGACAGTTTTAAACAACTCCGTTTAACTGTATATCTTTTTTGGATGATTTTGATTTTATGTATAATTAAATTACTGTAAAAGGTCAAAAAGCGTGCTAGGATATATAATATGGAGATTATATCGATTCATTAAGGAAACAAACTTCAAGAAACTTTCCAAGTAAGACAGGAGGTTTTTATCTTGTATACAGACAAAAGTTTACAATTAATTTAACTAATATAATTGAGTTTTGTATACTTCATAATATTTTACATAAATAGAAACTGAAATATATAACTGCAGAATAAACTGATTTACGTAAAAATGTTGACATTAAACATCATAAATTTGACAATAATATCAGTAATGATTTTGATATTAGGAATTATCAAGATACTGCTACCATTAAATTCGTTTTATCCCATGTTTATTGATGAATTCCGTAGGCGGCAAAAACGTGCTTCGAATAAGTTTTCGTTAGTTTTAATTTAAAATTTGGTTAAAGATTGCATTACATCGAAAAATAGAATAAAAGAATATTATTATTTTACAGAAATTTTTAAAATAAACATGAAATAAATACATATTAAAAGCGATAAAAAAAAATTCCTGAAAAAATTAATCTGAAAAATTCAATATTTCAACCACTTTTTGTTAAATTTTTATCGAAATACTTCAATTAAGCATGAGAATGACATTTAAACATCAACTGGTCAAGTGCATGTCAATTGGAAAATTGTTATTTCATAAAACTTTTACATTGAAATTTTTTTAAAAAAAGAATTCTAAAAACTGAATAAAACAATTCCTTTTTTTTCCTCTGGTTAGAATTCAAGTACTAGAAAACTGTGTAAAATAATTCAAACCTAAATGTCAAAATCTAGTTTTTTTTAAAGGCTTTATCTTGTAAATAAAAAAATGAGAAAAAAAGTCTGTAATTCATCAATAACTTTTCTCTTTGTTGCAGATATTGAGCAACAAACCTATGAGTATATATCATGACAGCAGTGACTTGGAAACAGACTGGAGAGATAGCGAGTTTATTACAGAATGTCTCTGTTGGCACAATGTATATCGCCAACGGCATAATGCTCCTCCTTTGACAATGTCGCCAAAGGTGAACGCACACAATTTTACTATCAGTTTACCCTATAAAACATAAATTCAGAACGTTTTTATTGATCTACTAAATGGAACAAGGTAGAAAGAATTTGCTTCAATTATTACCTATCTGTTGACAGCTGTGTGAATATGCACAAACGTGGGCAAACCATCTAGCTCATACTAATACATTTTACTATCGGAACGATCGAGAAGTCGGTCAGAACCTTTATTGTAGACCAGGGGGTGCAGTTCCGGGTGACGTAACAGGCCAAGACGTTGCTTCATACTGGTATTCTGCAGTCAAACAATATGACTTTTCAAAAGAACCTGATGTATTACATGCCAACGTCAATGCAGGTTAAATTTGTTTGCTTTTATCAATATCATTTGTATTATTATTCAACACTATGAATGTAATAATGAAAAGGCACAAAGTACCAGATTGTTATTGAACTTAAAACATTTTTAAAAATCTTTATCTTTAACCCATTACAGCATAAAGTTTATTATAACATTTATTATGATTTTAATTGACTAAAAGAGTTTACTGGGGTTGGTATAAAAAACCTAATCAGTAAAATTTCAGCATATATGTATAAATATAATTTTATGGACCGTCCGATATAGCTGCTAAATAATTTAATTAATTGTTTACAATATATAGAATTTTCTAGCGTCCGATTTATCGGACGTTATGCTGTAATGAGTTAAGCAAACTCATCACATTAAAATACATCCTAGAACATTCTGGAGCTTCAAGTATCTGGTTATGAAGCTTTTCATTAAAAAATTTTTCGCTTTTTGTTATTCTGGGAGAAAATGATGAATTTCTCATAGAAGATGAAGAATTCCTTTAAATAAAAGCATCTTAAAGCTCGATCATTTTTCTTTGATATGGTACGATTAGTTTTGATCAGAAAATATTTATGCGAGAAAAAGTATTTGAATTTTTTTGGCAAGTACGTAACAAGCTTTCAATCATTCATGTACATACAGATATACTGAAGTTAGCACTTTAATGCTTACTGAGTAAATGATTCATGAAAAGTTTATTTGCTGAAACCGTCATTCAAATGTCTTAGCACTCTATTTTTATGAGCCAAGATAAAAGAGTTATCAAGATGGGAACCTTGAATTCTAGTTTGATAAACATTACATAAAAAAAAGTTAGTACTTGAAAGTTGATGCTTTGACCTTTACAAGTATGAATACTTTGTATTCAGGTCCAAGTCTAAAAAATTTATCTTAAAGAATGTTTCCAAACAAAATGGAGAGAAAAACTCACCTTATAAAAATTTTGAAGCGATAATTTTTATGATAACATCATTGAACAACTCTATAAAACAATTAATGTTTCAAATAGAATTGTTATCATAAACTATAAAATAACAAACATGTAGAACAATAGCTAATATATTTTGTTTTGTTGATTAATATTATACTGTGCAAAGTATCCAATTCAGATACGAAAACTATTTCTGCTTTCAAATTAGATCTGCCTTTGAAATAGGGCTTCAATGTAATCAAAATTCGAGAATGAACTAGTTTCTGCTCTTAAATGTAGTCTGTCCTAAAACACTATTTGAATGTAAATAACATTGCGTGTAAATAGATGCGATTCTTTGAGAAAAATATATTCTTCCCCAGATTTTCAACGAAATTTTTTTAGAACGGTTTCCTCTAATTTTTAACCTCCACTAGTATAATTATATGTAGAAGCTTAAAAAATACATATATTTAGAAATTGATTAAAGATATTTTTATGTTCTTTATTATTTTTATACTCTCCTGATCCATATATTTTGTATGCGCAGGCCATTTCACGCAGCTGATATGGATGAGCAGTCGCTACTTTGGAGTAGGTAAAGCGCGAAGTCGAAGTGGCAAGATCATCGTGGTGGCAAATTACGAACCAGTAGGTAATACTTCAGGACAATTCCAAAGGAATGTACTTCCTCCGCTTCCTGATTGTGGAAATTTGCCGCTTCCACCACCACCAAGAATCAGACAGTTTGAACCACCAGAATCAGATATGTCAACAAGCAGTAACAGCTCGATTAGCACGCAATAATATAGACGAGCCAACTGCTTTTTAAATTTCTGCGCGTTCTGGAGTGGAAGCAAACGATAGTAAAAATGTTTCAAAATTCTCAGGCTATCCAGGTAAATGTGATGGTATTTTTACCGTTTGAAGTCCTTTTTTTGATCAAATAATAATGAGCGCAGAGAAGAATTAAAAGCAGTGATACATCAGCTGAATTCATAAAACAATCGAAGACATTTTTTATTACTATAGTTTATTCAACAAAGAGTTCAAGAAAAAACTAGATGTATCTAACGTGCGACCGAGTTATATAAAGGATACAAAATTTATAGAAGAACGTGAATAGAAAAGACAATTATAAAAATGAGAGAAAATTTCAAGAGAAAGTATCTATTACAATAATAAAAATTGTTTCAATTTGAAGTCCAAAGACATTTAGAGATATGTTAATTGGAAGCACTTTTTTGTTTCATAATTTAAGCATTTATCGCGAGGAAACTAGGGCAAAATGATCCTCTAGAGAAAAAATGGTCCACCTTAAAGAGATTTGAAAATAATTGAAAAAAAATTTTTCAAAGCTGCTTTTGTACTCAACAATAATTTATTGATTCATTTAAATTATAATAATAATTCATAAAAAATTGTTTCAATTTGACAGGATCATTTTGTTATAATTTTAATAATTTGAATTGAAGACTTAAGCAAACGATGATGATTTACTCTAGATGAAATGAGCACGTCAAATCATCTTCATCGACTTATGTCTTAAATTATCTAAATATAAATTTATCATCCAACTGCAAATTATACAAAAATATATGTTAGAGCTAGAAACTTCCTTAAAAAGTTTTTATGAATATATATTATTTATGATTTGATGAATGGCTAGTAATAAGATGCAATTTTCCAGTGATGAATTAATATTTGAATTATCTAGTATTTTGGTAAATTAAATAAATATTTTATACAACCTCTGTGGGCCTTAATACTAGCTTTGACTTGGCGTGATTCAGAGCAATTTGCACACTTTATTCAACTGAAGTGTTAAGATAATGGAAGAGATATATAAATCACTTGTTAGATCTTCATGAGCAATAATTTCTGAATTTTTAACTTCCCAGTAGGAAGTAATTGTTTATAATTTTATAATCGAATGTCAATTCCTAGTTAATATTGAAATGCGATTTTTTACAATATTTATGAAGAAGCAAAAGAGAATTCGTTGCAACGACTTAAATAACTGCAGTAATCATAATTATTATAAATCATCACACTAATTATTATAATGGTAATCATTATTGTTATTATTATAGTAGGAGTTTTTAAAAACAATAATATTCATCTGTAGTATCATGCACCAATCAACGCAAGGAAGAAGCAATCTGAAAAGTTTAAAAATTTTAGTAACTTTTGAGAGAATCCATTTCCGTGATATACATCGATTTTCAATAAAACGTAGCTTTTAATCTCTACTTCTAGTATTCTTGATGGAATTTTTTTTATTATTATTCTTCTATTATTCTGTAGAATTGGGCAAGAAACGGAAAAACAATTCCTTAATTTTTGTTGGGAAGTTGGGAGTTTGAATTTATTCCTAGAGTGAAAAAGAAATTCTTCAAAACAACTTAAAAAAGCACTTCTAAGTTTGATCATTCTGCTTTAAAGTCTTTTTTTTCTTACTTTACTTTTTAAATTAGTTATTATTATCTGTTTTATTCTTTTTATTTTATTTAATCGCTTTACGAGCTTCAAAATCATGACCCAAAAATATTTCAAAAAAAACCTTACCATTTTAATATAAATACTTATGATCATTTTGTGGAACTTACACAGTTTTTTTCATTTATTTTAAAAATATTTTTAATCTCCATAGAAACTCTAGTGATGTTTGATTTATTTTTTACTCTTTTTATGGAATGATCAAAAGTGATCAGACAATTTTAATCAACAGTTTTTAAAACTAGAGATTACATACTTTTGAATGAACCAGAATCTATTTATATTTTTCACAGAAATTAAGCTTTTATTAATTATTAAAATTTTTAAAAGCTTTTAGCTTATTCTATTACCATTTAAAATCATATAATATTGATTATGCCATTGACTAATCTTTATATAATTCTCATGCCTCAAAATAAATAATTATTATTTTTTTTATATGCATTGTTTTACTTGAACTCTTTGAAGAATGAGAATCATGATGCAAAAACAAAATCAGATAATCAAATTTAAGCTTAATTAGAGATTGATAAAGAATATAACACGTTAAAAGCTTGCAATAAATAACGACAGAATCCGCTTAAAAATTACATCGACAATTTGCTGCGTGATTTTAATATATTGATATTTCTGAAGGCGAGTCTACAATCAGTAAAGTTAATAAAGTAAAACAACTGCTCATACGTTCTACTGTCGCGGACGTTAAATTATAAGGGTAATACATATATAGGTATTTGAAGAATATCAAAGTCGAGCATGAAATCTACCAGAAATTTATTGAAGCTCAAATGTACGCAGCTCGAACAAAATTTATATATAGAGATAAAATAAAAATAGTTAATTGCATGTTATAGCATGAAGTGAACTAATATGGATTTATAACTTTATTATTTATAACAAATTTTTGATTAATTTAATCGAATTTTATTCGTTTATTTGATTACTCTTCATTAATAATATAATAATAATATATCTACTTGAGTGTGTTTGTCAAATTTGTGTATATGTACATTTTTCTAGCAAAAAAATTAAAATCGTTAATTAACTGATCAAACAAATCCGCTGACCTATTATAGTTCACTTTATTCTATAGAATTTATTACGCAATATATGAATTTGTTGACAAGATCCGATAATGTATTTATTCAAATATTCCATCAGAGTTGAAATTAAGTGCAACCTTGTTTAAGCTCACTGGTCCCTTCAAAATACGTGTATAAAAATAACGAAATAATGGCAAAACATTTTTTTATCCTTAATAAGATATTTTATCATGAAAAAACAAATGTAAATTTCTTTTTTTTCTATAAAAAAAAAGGTCGATTAGCAGGAAAGATTATTTTTTAATTTTCTGATAGTTAACCTTTAATTTCTTTTTTCTAACTTGTATAAAATACTAAAATCAATATTCTTCAATCACTTGAGTGAAAGAGAATGAATATAAATCAAAATGAATTTAAACAGAAAATTTTGTTCATTTATAATAAATGTCAAATTATTCAAAAAAAATGAAAGAATTATGAAATATTATTTCAAAGAATTTTAGAAATTTTATTTTAACTCATTAAAATTGTTTCATTGACAAACTCGGTTCCAATCTGCTAGAGTTATTTTGTGAATTTGAAAGTTCAATTCTGAACTACAAACAAATATCAAAAGAAGAAGGGACCTGAGGGTTCTAAATAAAGAGAAAATTTTAACTCAGCCATCGAAAATTTAATTTATTACGTAAACATGCGTGCCTCTAATTGTAAGGGTTTATACAGTTATTTGCTAAATAAGTGTAAATCGTTGCTGAGAATGAGTTATATTATAGTTACTAGTGCAGCATCAAAACATTGAATACACAGTTAGTTAATCAAATAAGTAGTAACATGTTTTATACTGTTGGATTTGAAAAAGTTTATCATATAATGATATATTATAAATACATATTTACAACAAATTGCTTCATTGCACATCATGAAAATAGACAATGTTTTAAAAAATATATATACGTAAATAGATTGTATAGAGAGAAAAAATGATTTTTAAGGCATAAAAAAGCGCATTGTTTTTAACGGATAAATTTTTTATATGAAATTTATAAAAATCATTAATAATGTTTTACAATAATAACATTATTTTCATTACAATATTACTAAGCAATTATTACATTTAATACATAGTTATTAAATGAGATGTAATGTTTTATAAAGAGAAGAGATAATATTTATTGAAGAGAATTAAGCGTTATTACTATTTTACTAGAGTATATTTTAATAGATGAACATTTTTTTTCTTAGAGAAAAAAAAATGAATTGAAAAATATTGAGATATAACTTCAATGTTAAATGTTTACATCTATTCATTCAATATTCAAACTATATTGAGTTATGCTTCAAAATAAATTCTAATAATTGTTTTTTTCATTCGTAAGTTTTCTTTTATTTGAAAATTATTTTATCTCTCGCTTTAGAAACAATTGTAAACAAAAGAAGTGTATCAAAACGAAGATAATCAATGGCTTTGCTATATTTTTAAGCAATGTAAAATTTTATAAATAAGTATAAAGTAAAAATTATATAAAGCTATGAAGGAAAAAGTTGCCTATCATGGAATAAATATCGTTATTATATAAGTCGTACTATCTATAAAAATGCATTCTGCTTTCAACAGCTTTTTCGAATTCTCATATGAAAGACTTAAGTGTGATATAAACTAGATGAGTAGTGAAAATGGTGAATTATTATTCCCTGAGCTTATAATCGTTTAGGGTCGAGTGATTCTCTTTCATGTCAATCAATAATACTTTCATTCATCGATGAAAATTGTAAGGATATGCCTTAATACATCAAATGCATAGGTGGTTTAATAAAAACCACAAATTAGAGAGAATTTAGTAAAAAGAATCTCTTTCATAATCTATCGAGTCTCATCGATTTCTAGATTCTCTTCGCTTTATTCTGATTATTTTTAAATTAGAAAATACTTGATAGAAAAAAATTTGCGAGCTATAAACCAGTATAAAATTATAGGAAAATTTCAGTATTAATGTATATTTTCATTTGGACGACAGTAAAGTTTTATTAGGGAAATACAATCAAATTTTTATTGGATTAAAGAAGTTCTCGACTTATTAATATTGATCAGACTTTAAATATAACCTGTTAAAAATAAATTTAATCGAATTTGTTTTAATCTAATCTTCAATTTTAAAGATTTTAAAATTATTTTAAGAAATTTAAGAACAAACTTTTATTGTGAATTATATAACATGGAAAATTATTTTTTCAAGAATAATGGAATTATTTAGAAACTTCGAAATGGTGTAAAATTTTTGAAAGATCACATTTATATTTAAATTTGAGAATGTTTAATATTATTAAAAAAGGATGATTTAAGAGATCCACAGCTTAGATTTTCAGTTCGTTATTTAAAATTTTTTATCACACGAGTTTTAAACTTCCATTTTAAGAGAATATCTTTATCAAAGCTGTTACAACGTAGTTATCTTGCTTTATAACCTTTGAAGTCACAGAAAAATTTTTATTCTCAAAAGCCTAATAATGACATTGTAAAAAATACATTTTTAACTTTTTAATGATATCCGATTTATTACTGACTACTCTTTTTTTCAGTGTTCAGTAGTTAAAGAGTTCAAAGTCAAACATAATTTTATTGCCCCCAATAGCTAATTATCCAAGTAAAAATATAGGAAAATGAAAAAAAAAAAATATTAAATGAAATAATCAATCTTGTGTGGCATTTTAAATAAATTCTTATTAGGCTTCATTCTTTTTCCTGAGGAAAGAATTCAACATTTGTCAAATAACAAGAGATCATTTCGTTTCTTCTCCTTTCGTTATTCACAGGATGATAAGAGATAAAAGAATTTTAGTAAAAGATCTCGAAACGGGAGATTACAAGCTTTGAAATGAGCTCCTATTCATTGGAATTTGATTTTTTTAAAGAAAATGATCTTTCAAAAAATACTCAAATTTCCATATTTCTAGTAATTCTTTTGTTCTTAAAAATTTTTTGGAAATTACTATATACATTCATACTTTATCAGAGATAAGAAAATTATATAGTATTGTTTTTTGACAGTCGATTTATTTCAGTTATACATGAGAGAACGACTTTTTTTTCATTTAATTTATTCAAATTCATTCTGATTTCTTCCACTTCATATTTGACAAAAGCTATCAAGCTTTTGGAATTTTTAGCATAGTTCACGAATTGATGTACACTTTCTGTCGCTTCTATATTAATTCCATCCAATTATTTCAATGTAAATTTAACCCATTTTTTAAACTTTGAATACAATTACAAAAAAGAAAGAAATGGTGCAATATTTAAAATTAATTAGATAATACAATCGCGACATGTTTATGTAATAAAATATGAAATTACAACGGTCTAAAGAATAATAGAAATAAAGACAGATAGAATTATAAAATCTCTCATCCTTTCGTCCCTTTGCATCTTATGGAGGGTATTGCAGTGGCACCTGCAATGCGCCAAACTTAATCTTCCTCCGCTCTTCTCTCCACTCTTGCTCCACTTCATCCCCACTTATTTATTGTACAATTTCTTTCATTTTTGAAAAATATTCAAGGACAATTTGAATCGAAGAAACATTTTTCAAGCAGCCACAATTAGCTCTAGTTGATAATACATTTAACTGTTGAGTATGTTTTAATTTGTAAAATTTTCAAATGAATACTCTGGAAAATTATAGTAATCTTAATAATTTCTTTTCTTATTAATCATTTATATGATAAAATTAAATTTAAATACTTGTATTAATTTTTTACGTTATTATTATAACTTTTAATAGGTAAAGTGAAAAATTTAATAGATAAGAATCATTCTGAAAATGAATGAATTTCAAGAAAAAAGTCTAGAGAAAGGAAAATTTTTTTCCAGACCAATTAAATATTTATCACACCTAGAAGCTTCTTTAATTACAAAAAAAAAGAAAGTAATTTTAAAATGCGTTAGGATTTTTTATTTTCTGTTCACCATCAAGTACTGTTAATTTATTTACTGGTCTGCTAACTCTATTTATTTTGTAAGAGGAAGAGATGTAAAAAAAATTATTGGCTCAAATGTCTGTCTAGTATATGTAAAACCATAGTAAGAGTAATGTAAAATACTAATGTTATTTCTCCCCGTGTTAAAAATTGACACATCAATTATGCCCAATTTAACAATCGATTGTTACCTTTAACATAAATATTTAACTAGATCTAATTAAAGCTCTAGAACTTCGACGCCAATCTAGAATACATATCCAATTCACTTGCTTTCGCTGTAGAAATGAATGTTCAACATTTTGATATAATTATATAAGCAAAAACGGTAAGAAACTGCAAAAAATTGCTCAAGGCATATTACATTTATTATATTTGCATGAAAAATATTGGATTTAACACTTTAGAAATAAAGATATTATCAAACTAATAAAATATTATTACACACTGTTAGAAAAATGACGAAATACAATTCTGCTGAAAGTTATCTTTATTGATAGTCGTTTGAAATTTAATATTTATTTCATTAGTGAGCTAGAATGAGTAGCGCTTCAAATTAGTTTATTGAAGAAATAAATGAAACATCAATTTATTGTAAATTGTTCAATGCAACTCTACAATATACCATCGAGTAAACTATGCTTTATTGTGTTTCTGTTATTTTTTTGTACTGAACAAAGTCAGTTTAAACAACTATTGATTGAATGCTTTCGAGATTACTAAGTATACTGTTATATTAAATTTTGAAAAAACAAAATGTAAAATAATTAAATTCATGAAGTATATGACAATGTGTAATAACAGAAAATAATTATGCATTTGGGCTGTGATTATTTATTAAAAAATATGCGAGTTATATACAATAATTCAATTGTAAATTATAAAAATGTACTCCAATATAATTAATTCATTTAAAATTGCCAAAATAAAAAAAACAGTGTTCAATGAATGTAATATTTTATGTAAGTAATTGTTATTTGATGGAACCATCAGGATGAGAAAGAGTAGAATAAAAGATAAATAATAAATACTCTATATGATTATGCACGGAATGAAATAATTTGTCTGAAATAAATGGTTATTAAACATTAAATTATGAGTGAGTTTATTTTTAGTTGAAATTTCAAAATGTTACTGCAACTTATAACGAATAAAGTTTATGTAGGTATTTATTTATAAAAATACATACATTATGTATTAAGATTACTTATGTTATCTATTATTATTTGTGTTTCGATCATATTCAATTTTATGGTTGTTTATCAGTAATAAAATAATAGTTAAAAAATTGTTTAAATATTTTTCAAGTTATGATATTTATGATTATTAAAAATGTAAACAACAGTTTGATAGATGAATAAATTATTATTAAGACAAATATTCCTAAAAAAGATCTTGATTTTTTTCCATCAAAATAATTTTAATTTAATAGATTATGAAAAACAAAAAAATACACTTTCAAATATTTGAAAAAATTACATTTATTTTATCAATTACAGATGTGTTACCGACTTTCGGTTATTATTAGTTGTTTAAAAGGCAGATGGCAGCTCTTTAAATTTCTGTTATGTGATGACTGATATCTGAATCGTAATTTTTCATCAGATTTATCAAAATGGCAGCGAAAAGCGGTGGTAATATTGACTGGTCATCAGTTATAAAACCAATTTTAGCTTCATCTCATGGCTCTTTCGACAAAAGTGAAGTTCTAGAACTAGTAAAAGCAATAATAAAGAGGTAAGACAGCTATTTCTACTGTAACAATCGCTATAAATACTGCATTTGAAAAATAAACTTTTGCCATTGTGGATTAAGTTCACATGTTAAGAAAATTTACGTTTGTCATCGATTTAATACCTTTGGTGTTAATTTAATATCATTTTACAGTGAATCAGAATTCGAATCACACGAAGATCAATACGAAGCTTTTTATACGTCTTTTGCAGTATTAGCTGCCGATTACATCAGTGGCTGTGCTAGCACTCGTAAGTTTCTAAATGACCTACTAGATACAGATATTTTTTATTATCTATATGTAGATATTATTATTGATCGTCATACATTTTAATTTTAATTAATTTATTCTCATCTTCATTAAATTTTCAATTTGTTTATTAAATAAGGATTTTCATGCCTATTATGGAATTAGAATTTTTTTTCACCGGTCATGATAGCTACTCTTATATTTCTCATTATTTTTATTTTACAGTATCTAAAGGTCAATTTGCAACAGTATGTCAAGCCTGCAAAATTTTATTAACATATTTAGTCGGCAAACAACCCGGCGATGGATCATCTACAATTTTGACCATGAAGCAATTATTATTGTCCATCAAAGCACTTTGTACTGGGCAATCACTCCTTACAAAGACAGAAGAGGTTGTATTAATTGCTATCATGAAAAATGCTAATGTTCCATCATACGTAACCTGTCCAACTACAACCGGTGAAAAAGATACTTCACCTCAACCCATAAAAGAGCCAAAACGTGCACGAAGTGATCTTTCTACATCAATTCTTGAACAATTAACAATGCCGTTACAAGATTTTGTCCCTTCTTTTGCACTTACATCTGGAACATCAACAGAAAATAATAAAAACGTCAGTACATCAACTGGAAGTGATACAAATAATGAAGTTAAGGTTTGTGAAATAATTCTATTCTTGATTACAAATGGATAATGTAATGAATTACATTTAACAAAAAATTTCTTAATTTTGCAGATGATGTTTATTACTAATAATATAAACATACTCCAAAACATGGGAGCTGGTGATACTTTACTTGAAATGTGCTGTAATTTACCACATTTATCACGATACATGCGCAAATATCAAGCTTATATGGGTAAAAAAGGTCTTAGTTTACCAGGCAATCATGCTGAAGCTCATATAATCAGACATAGTCTTCATTCAGTTGTAAATGATATAAATATTGTACATACTGTAGTATCTTTGCCAGTTTTGGAACCATTAACATCTACAAAACTGAAAAAACTATCATTACTGACAATGTCTTGCTTATACTGTTCAATCGCGAATGCAACTGCTTCAAGTATTGTTGGAGTATCTAATGTCGTATCACCAAAATGCAGTACAAATAACGCTTCAAGTACTCCTAATAATCAAAATACAACAAAGTCTGAAGATGACTATGATTCTTTAGCAATTACAGTAGTAGAAAAAAGTTTAGAAATTTTTGGATTAGTATCAGATATTATCAAAAAGAGTACTCGAGCAGGAGGACACATTTTACAGAATCATTTGTTAATTGGTGTTTGGCTTTTGGTGGCCGGATTTCAAGTTCAGCTAACAGTTAGTAGCTTCAGTAGTACGACTGATAAAAGCAAAGAAGAAAAAGGAAAATCTCCAAGTAAAGCAAGAGATGGAACGTCAAGAATAAATTTAATGAAATTACAACAAGGATTTGGCGTATTGTCAGTGGCACTTGCATCGCATGCATTAACGTTAATGAGTGCATTACTTGAAGATGCTTCAGTAGAAACTATTGAAAACCAAGTTCCATTAGAGCCTGCTCCTCTTGACATCTTAGCAACATCAACAGCCCTTCAACGAGCAATGACTTTTCTTCAAGAAGCTCCATTAAATCATTTATTGTTTTATCTGGCCACAATTAGTTATCGAAAAGTATAATACCATTTCTAAATTAATAAACGATTATTTTTCATAAAAAATTGATCAAACTATAATTAATAATATTTTTTAGGCTTGTACATTAAAGAGAGTACAAAAACATCCACAAGAAGGTGACACATTGAGTCAATCAGATTCTACAACTTACTACGAAGATCTTCTAAGTTTTTCTGAAAGTTCAACAGATGAAGGTAGAAGTTCATATCAAACTCATTTATCATTCGTGTATTTATTTCATTTTTATTATGTTGCTGTATTAGTCAATCATAGATATATTCATACCAAGCATGTTACTGGTGATTGGTGAATATGTTCAATATAAACCTGTAATTGTATATCATTTAGATTGTTATTTTGTTAAAAACTGTAACTCAGTAGTTTTCATTCTATTCATCTTACTAACTCTGTGGGGTATGTTCACTATGTAGAACAAACTGTTATGTCGGTAGAGGAGGACAGTGAGCCTATCTTGGGTCTGTGGTTTGAGGAGACTTTATCTCCTTCGGAAGGATCACCAACAAATACAACCAAAGAAACTAATAACGAACCCAGTGCAGAACGTGTGACAACAACTATTGTTCCTGATAATCGCGAACCTCATGGAGTAAGTTATTACATACTTTAATAATATCTTTTGTATTATAAAGATTCATAAACAAAGTTTTTATACATTTCTATTTTTAATTAATAATTATTCTAGTATATTTCCTTGGCAACACAAATATTCCAATTTATGAATAAACACTTAATTGGAAGCCGCATATCTTATATCCGAGGATATGTCATCAATGGTTTAGTCGAACAACAAATGGTTATTTTAGCAGCAATTATCCGAGACTTAGATCATGAAACTGCTAGAACAGAAACAGGAACGATTTCTGTTTTCTACGGAGCAACGTTGGGAGCTATGTATTCTGAATTTTCTCAGGCTTTAAGTCGATACACCCACAATTTATTGGCACGTAATACACTAAGTGAATCATTACAGAATACTTTACTCCAACATTTAGGAGTAAGTCCGTGGACAACAGAAGGAGGATCTTCATCTTCATGGCCATTACAAGTTTATCCAAGAACACTTAGTGTTTTAGCCCAAATTTTGCTACTTAAACCACAATTAGAAAAAGAAGCTGCATGTATCAGTATATGGCAACGGTTGATTACAACTATGGTAGAAAATGTATGTAATCCTCCTGTCACGTTTGAACCAGAAAATGAAGATCTAAACGTAGAACATGCGCAACTGTTGTTATTTTTGTTCCACTCACTCAATTTGATGCAAAAGAAATCAGTATTATTAGTGACAGGCAGTGGAGCTGTTCGATGTAGTGAAGCTGTTAAAGCTCCTATGAAAGATTCTCAGATATTACATCTTTCCCGACTATTATTGCTGTTAGAGTATATGATGAGACATTTGTATGATGCTCCGCCAACATTGCTTGAACAGGTGAGAATTTAATTGAAATCTGATTATTTTTTACACAATATAAAAAAAAACGCATTATGTTTATTCCGGACATTAGACATAACTTCTCATTCTGGATTTTTGTTTTTTTTTTTCTAATTTTAAAACCATAAAAATGCAAAAATATTTAATAAGCTAAAATTTAGCTTAGTGAGATAACAGGGCCACCAGATTGACAGTAAAAGCTGCGTGGTAGTATAAGTCTCGAACACACACATTCCAAAAGAAATAAATATTTGATATAAAATAAATTTGATAAAATATTTTCTTCATAACTGATTTGACTTTTTCAGGTACAATGGAATCTTCTTTCTGCAACAAGTTTAGTTTTGGATTCCAAGGATGGTAATAAACAAGCATCAAGAATCTATACTCCATGGAAAGAAATCGAAGATAATTATCCCAAGAGTGGTTCTCAAGATGAATTTACCATGCGACCACGTTTTTACAATTTAACTAATGCTGATTTTAACAATCAAGATACACCAAAATTAGATGGACTGGCATGTAATTTCGTCTTAGGTACTCCGGATAAATTAAAATATCCGCTTCTAGTTGATGCATTGATTGATATATTAAACGTTATCAACCAAACGAGCATGCCACGCAAATCTCACGATGGAAAAGATAAAATATCAATGATTGGATTATGCGGACTTCAATGTTGTTTTTCTATTTGCTGGAGAATTCTATTAAATCTTCCACCATCAACTCCATATATGGATAAACTAGCACTTGGCGAAGAAATTCCAGCAGGGCCAATGTTATTATACTCATTAATTTGGGGTCCTCGAGCTGCTTATAAAACTTTTACTGGATGGATGAAAGATTGTCTTGTAAAACAAGGAATGTACACTCAATATGCTGAAAATCTATTAAAAACTGTTTCGTCAACAGTAAACTCTCTCAAGTATGATGTTACTTTGGCTAAAAATTGCATAAAAATTCTTAAACCCGAACTTAATCCATCAGATAAAATAATGCCGAAGTCTACTTTACCTAAACTTAGTTCCTTAACGATCTTGGCAGCAGTAATTGGAAAATTACAAGTTTTAATGGATGAGAGTATTTCGAAAACACCCACAGATAATATCGAAACTAGTAAAAGTCTACAATCAACTGAATCTTCACCATCAAATACAAACAAGATGATTATAGACATTCTTCCGCATGTACTATCTCTGACCGAAGCAATTTTAGCTTCCTGCCAATCTAGTGTACTTTATCAAATGCATGAATCTTCAGAACCAGCTGGAAAATATACTTTACGCGATTATCTAATCTTAGATGGCATCATACGTGTTGCTGGTGCTCCTTGGGCTACAGAAGCTTCTTTGATAAGTTTATTACCAAGCAATATTCGATCAGTATTGGATAAATGGAAAGCTATAAATGTATCTCACATTCCATGGAATACGTATGCTAACGATATAATACCTGCTGAAAGTTATATACTAGCTACTGTGAATCATCACATTAGTACTTTATCTGAATATGGTTCTTTTACTATAAATCCATCATTGAAAAATTTATTGCACTCATTGGTATCATTTCTTCTTGAATATGTGACACCAGTAACTGCTCCAGAAAATTCCGAAATACGTAATCAAGTGATTGATGTATTAATCCCACTTACTATGGACGCCCGAACGGAACATTTACAAGAAATGGCTTCAAAAGCTTTAACTAAATTATTTGGAAATGCAGATAATGAAACAAAACAGCTAAAAGAGCATCTTTTTGTTCTCAAATATACTTATAACGTAATTTTAGATTATACGACAAATAACGAAGAGTCGATTAATATTTCTGTTGATGAAAAAATTTTAAAACATTGTATACAGTATTGGGAACAGCTTCTTGATAGTCCGATTGGTTGCAAAGCTTTAGATCAATTATTTGAACCGTCGTCTGATAGAAATTTAGTTTATGTTTTATTGTCAATTGCATCGCCACAAGCGTCACAACCATTTAATTCTCATGTTCTCCACTTCTTTAACAAATTATTCAAAACTGCTGAAAAAACAACTGATGGTTCACTTGATCGTCTATGTTGTTCAGTTTCTAATTTAGCAAACGTTGAAAGTGGAAAACTTCAAAACTGGTTAAGACATTTGATTTTGGGAGCTGGAAGTAATTCTACAAATATATCTCCAGCAGATATTCCAACTTCGAATACAGCTACAACCACAACAAATACTGCTTCAGTTGATCCATCCACGTCTGTACTACTTGAAGCAGCTATAATCAATGCAGAGGAGGCCGCATTGTTATTAAATCCAGTACCTAATTATCAGCCAGCGATAAGTACACACGAAGATAATCAGATAATGCAAGAGAATAATCAACTACTTCAAGCTTTGACAAATTACATCGTTAAGGCAAACAGTTCATTGGGAGATCATGTTTCAGTAACGATTCTTCAAGCCCTAATTCCCTGGGGCTATCATATGCTATCATCATCAATTGAAGGAGTTGGTTTTCCAGAATTAATGCAAGTTATGTCAACATTAGCCGATGCTGGAGCTGATAAAGGCCATGTATTACTATTTAAAGCTGCCACTGATTGGGTGGAATTGTGTAAACAACAGTTGATGAATAAAGATCCTGAAATGCTCGATAAACCATTCGCCTACATCGAAGCAGGCTGTTGTGTTTTGAACTATATTGCAGATATAGTCAGCGCAGTTTGTCCTACACAATCATTGACTCAAGATCGAGCTATTAGTCCACCCTGGGAGGGTTCTGCTCCAATCAATGACTTGAATGACAGTGATTGGCTCGATGAACTAGTTCATGAGGATGAAGATAGTGCAGCTGAAGATTCTGATGAAGATAGTCTTTGTAATAAACTTTGCACCTTTACAGTAACACAAAAAGAATTTACTAATCAACATTGGTACCATTGCCACACTTGTAGTATGGTTGACGGAGCTGGAGTTTGTACAGTTTGTGCTAGAGTTTGTCATAGAGGTCATGATGTAACATATGCTAAATATGGAAACTTTTTCTGTGATTGTGGTTCAAAAGATGATGGATCATGTCAAGCATTAACAAAAAGAAGTCCGCAAAGCTCAGAACATCAAGCAGGCTCTAATTCTACCTATCATAATTCAAATGGGAGTGAAAGTAGTGTTCCTATGTCAAGTAGGTTAAGAAGACGAGCGACAAGTCCTGTTCATTATGATGAAAAACTAGAACAAAGCGGAAGAGATAAACAAAAACATGTTGCTCTAGCTAAACAATTAGAAGGCTCTAAAGATTGGGTATTATCTCAATTGTGGTCTAGTGGATTAATTTCTTCTCTAGTTGAGCTTACAAAGACTCTATTACCTGCTGTGAATTTATCTTGTCAGAAAAATTCTCCAGTTGGATGTCATACACGAGCTCAAGCAGCACTAAAACAATTACATACATTAGATAAAAAATTCGAACACACTGATCAACTAATGTTATCAACATTGGGATCCCAAGAAGGAGCTTTTGAAAATGTGAGAATGAATTATTCCGGAGATCAAGGACAAACAATTAGACAACTTTTATCAGCTCATATGATCAGACGAGTAGCAATGTGTTGTTTATCTTCACCTCATGGTAAGCGTCAACATCTTGCAGTTTCCCATGAAAAAGGAAAAATAACTGTACTCCAATTGAGTGCATTATTAAAACAGGCAGACTCTTCAAAACGAAAGTTGACCTTAACAAGATTAGCGTCCGCACCGATACCTTTCACAGTCTTATCAATTACTGGTAATCCATGGAACGAGGACTTTTTAGCAGTTTGTGGATTGAAAGATTGTCACGTATTAACTTTTAATAGTTCGGGAACTGTTTCTGACCATCTTGTCCTTCATCCTCAACGTGAATTAGGAAACTTTATTATTAAAGCCATGTGGTTGCCTGGGTCTCAAACTCAATTAGCTTTAGTTACGGCTGATTTTGTAAAAATATATGATTTAGCAAAGGATGCTCTTAGTCCTCAATATAATTTCCTTGTGCCAATTGGAAAAATTAGAGACTGTACATTTGTACATACTGAAGATGGAGTATTTTATCTTTTATTAATGTCATCTGCAGGATATATTTATAGTCAGGCTATGAATGAAGAAAGCTCTGCCAAACATGGACCTTTCTATGTTACTAATACTCTAGATGTTTACCATCCAGAAATTAAAGATTTTGGACAAGTCGGTGGAGGAGGAGTTTCTATTTATTATTCACATGCTTTACAATTATTATTCTTCAGTTATGCATGTGGGAAAAGCTTTATAGCACCATTAAAGAGTTTGGATTCTGACATTACAACAGTATTTATGATAAATTTTCAAAGTAATAAAACAAATGGCAACAAATCAAATAACAATCAACCTCAGCCACTTTGTCAATGGAGTGAAGTTGCAAATCACCCAGGATTAGTTTGTTCTGTACTACAAACAAGCAATAATCCTGTAATATTGATGATAAAACCAGATGTTGTATTAATACAAGAAATAAAAGTCATCCCTAAAGCAAAAATAATGGATATGGTTGCAATAAGACACCCAAGTTCAAATGCTGAACATAGAACTACTCTTATTCTTCTCTGTGAAGACGGCAGTTTGAGAATTTATATGGCTTCAATGGAGCAAACTGGATTCTGGATGTCTGCAAATGTTCAACCTATTGGACCGTTATCAGTTATAAAACAGACAAAGAAGAAGAAAGCTACTAAAGTTGGAAAACCGTCAGGCTCTGTTTCATTTCCAATAGACTTTTTTGAACATTGCCAGTTGATGAATGATGTTGAATTTGGCGGAAACGATTTACTTCAAATCTATAATGTTGCTCAAATAAAACATCGGTTAAACACTACAGGAATGTATGTGGTGTCAACTAAAGCTATCGGATTTAATGTTGAAGTTACGAATAATGATCCTACTCTTGTAATGACGGGAATTCGAGTTCAACTAGGAAGTCAAGATGTACAAAGAGCTCCGCTTTACGTTGAAGTGTGTATATTTACGTTTAAATTTATAAAAATGACTTATTAATGTGTCTATAAATTTTGCATAAAATTACAATTTGAAAATATTTTCAGGTATTTGGCAGGAGTATACGAACTTCTTGTACGCGCAGTCGATGGTTTGATATTCCGTTAACAAGAGAAGAAAGTCTTCAAGCTGATAAAAAATTAACTATTACCTTTGGACTTTCTCAAGACCCTGATGTTATCATGGTTGATTCAATAAAAATGTAAGTTTATTTATCAATTTATTGAAGTTTTATTTTAATTTTTTCCTATAATAGGTATTTAATTATATTATCGACTAAATTTTAGATATGGCAAGACTAAAGATGCCTTTGGTTGGCCTGAAGAGCCAGAAGAAAATCCAGCTGGATCAACAACTTCAGCTCCGGTCGCTTCAGGTTCTGCCATGAATAATGAAAATGAAAATGCGATCGCGACGCCTGCACCTTTAACTTCAATTGACAAGTAAGTAATTACTCTTTTTCAATCTACTTTACAGCTGTTAATAATTATCCGACAAATAATGGCTTAAAGCTGAGAATTACTGCTTACATATTTTTCTAAAATTGTATTAAAATGAAAATTTTTTGGCTTTTTCTGGTTTATGTTATTACCATAAATTTTTTTCATTATTTCGAAATGGTATTTTTGAGTCAATACTTTAAAGTTTTATTTATATTATAATGCATCAGACCACATAAGGATTTTGTGAATATTGAAAGGTAAGAGATAAATGTCCAAGTGCATGTACTATTTATTTTTTCCTTTACGACAGGAAAAAATTTATTTTATAATTTAACAAGCATTACCTGATCTTATTTTATGGAATTCAAATATTTAAACATAATTGTTTAAAATTATTATTAATATCAATATATTTATAGGATGGTCTCTAGTATCCTTGAAGTCTTAGAATCATCATTTACCTTATCACCTAACGATGAAGGAAAATTACTTTTGAGAAATACAGCAATAGATGTAGCATCACGTCTTCTTACTTTACCCACACCGCCTTTAGTCCAGATACATACTACAGCTCTTCTCGCTGCATTACATAACTCCAAAGTAGCATATCATGCTCACAAAGTAAGTAAATAAATTTTATTATGACTCCGTGCATAAATAAAAGTAACTTTAATCTATACTGAATTTGTAGTAATTCAAAGCAATTTGAACGTTTTAACACAAATGAAAAAAAACAATGTATATAAAAATTTACTACATCAAATAATTTTATTATTTATTTTAGGATCATGTTCTTCTTACACATGTCTTGGAATCTCTAGAAGCCATGCGATCTGTCAACGCTACATTAATGGATGCTGAAAACTTTTATAGATTGATACTTATTGTACGGAGTATTGCAATTTCACGACCTCAAAATTTAGCCAAATTTGAAGTTGATCGTATCGCACAGTACAGCCAATGTAAAGATAAAGATAGTCAACAACATCTTGTATTACAACTAATGGATATATTATGGATGCTTCATGGAGCTTATCCAAAGAATCTAGCTTTAGCACCAGTGGTAGTACCTGGATTAACGCATACTGAAGCAACAACTTATGCAATGGTAGAGATAATTCACTCTTTAACACTATGTGATGTAGAATGGAATTCCGGTTTAGCTGCTAAATTATACCTCCAGTTGCTTGTATCAGAAGATATTCCAATTAGCTTTAGCGCCAAACAAGCAATTATCAGAGTACTCAGACCGCGGTTTAAACGAAGAAGAGTATATATTCCAAGTCCTCCGCACTGTAGTACACCTGGAGCTGCTGCTGAAATAGAAGAAAAACCAGATATAATTTCCCAAGGAGTTCAAGAAAATAGAGAACTTTCACACCAATTAGATGTTGAAGCAGTTGAGCCAATGGTTCTTCTTGGAGCTGATGTTAATCCAGCTGTTGAAGGTGCACAAGCCCCAAATCCGATTGAAGCACTTCTTGGACCAGGATTTCCACCACTTTTAGACCTTCCTGCGGATGCTGATGATGAGGCTATGGTAACATTAGCAATTGCTTTGAGCCTTCAAGATGAAAATGGAGCAGATTTGCAAGCTTTACAACAAAATTTCCAACAAGGATTGATTCAAGGTCTTCAAAGTCTAAGTGGATCAGCTTTACAAAGTTTCCAAGCTCTTGCTGCTCAAGGATTAGGTCAAGTTCAAGGAGTACCAGCACAGGAAGCTGGTCATTATTCCGATACAACTACTTCAGCCGGTGGTTCTGATGATGAAGGATCTACAGCAGCTACAGATGGAAGTACTTTAAGAACATCTCCTGCAGAACAGACTGGTAGTGGTGGTAGTAAAGGTAGTGAAAGTGGTGGAAGTGAAAGTGGCGGTAGTGCTGTTGATAGCATAACTGGTGAACATAATGTGTCCGGAAGAAGTTCAGCTTACGGTGATAATAATGCAGATCCTGTACCTCAAACTAGTACTAAAAATCCATCGAAATCGGAAACAAGTTCTGTGAGTGCTCCTGCAACTATGACTCCTGCTGAACAAGAAGAAAATGGTGAACAAGAACAAGTAGAACCAGATTTAGAAGTTTCTGGAGAAAATGCATCAAAACTTCACGCTGTGCGTCTTTCATTATTAGAGAAGTTTACCAAATTCATACCTCAATTAAGCTATGTCTCAGGAGTTCATTCTATTCCATTCATGCAAGTTCTATTAATGTTAACGTCAGATTTAGACGGCCAAGAAGAGCGTGATCGAACTTGCATTGAAAATTTACTTCAAGTTCTTGTCGATGAATTGAATATGGGTAAACCGGATACAACAGATGTTAGTAAACGTACTAAAAAACGTGAAGTTCATTTAGTTATCATGCGTTTCTTAGGTGTGCTAATGTCAAGATCTAAATGTTGCACTAAAACTCAGCCAGAAAATTCCAACTTTGTTTCTCAAACAACAGCAGCTATTCTTAGCAAAGCAGGAGTTATTGAATATTGTTTAACATTACTGAAAGCTCTTTTAGAGTATTGGAAATCAACCTCAACTGAAGATAGTGGTACAGTTATTGGAGGTCAATTATTGAAAGAACATTTGACAACATCTCCTCCTGATATGTCTCCTTTCTTTTTAAGACAATATGTTAAAGGTCATGCTACTGATGTTTTCGAACCATATCCTCAATTATTAACAGAAATGGCCTTGAGACTTCCTTATCAAGTTCATAAATATGCAGAAAATAATACAATACATCCATCATTTGAACAACAAGCTTGGTATTTCTATCTTTGCGAATATATGATGCTTTACCAAACACCATTTATTAGACGTCAAGTTCGAAAGCTCTTGCAATTTATCTGTGGAAATAAGGAAAAATATAGACAATTACGAGACTTACATGCTCTTGTTTCTCATATGCAAAGTGTTCAACAATCATGCAGTGCTGGAGGATATGATCCAGCTGATCCTTATGTACTATCAATAAATCTTCCTTATGATTCTTTGGTTGAACTTATGGAACACCTAAAATGTTGTGTAGAAGTTGCTACCAGTCGTACAGGAAACTGGCAACGATTTTGTCTTAAACAAAATACTATATTATCATACCTTTTTACAATATCTACTCTTCTTGATGAAGGTGTCAGTTCTACGGTGCTTCAACTTCTACAATGTGCAATTTGTGCTAATACTAAGCCAAAAGATTCCAAACTTAAAGAATCTAAATCAACATCAAATTCTAAAGAACGTCGCGATCGAGCTAAATCAGAAGATTCAGATATAGAAGCTAAGTTTGAAGAAACACAATGTGTCAATTTAGTTGAGCAACTGCAAAAACAAGTTTCTCCAGCTTTGCTAACTAAATTCATCAAAACATTTTTATTAGAGACCAATAATACAAATGTACGGTGGCAAGCTCATTCATTAATTCTTGCTATCTATAAAAATAGTGGGCCATCTGATCAAGAAGCTTTATTAGATTTACTTTGGCATCTGTGGCCACTTCTACCAGCTTATGGAAGGAAAGCTGCTCAATTTGTCGATCTTCTTGGCTACTTTTCACTTAAAACTCCAGACGCTGAAAAGAAGATGCATTTGTACATGGAACAAGCTGTAGCAGTTCTTCATGCACAAAATCAACTTTTATCTCGTCATCCTAGCGCTAATTTGTATACAGTACTTGCTCAATTTGTTGAGCTTGATGGTTATTATCTCGAAAGTGAGCCATGTTTGGTTTGTAACAATCCTGAAGTTCCAATGGCGACAATTAAACTTTCCTCAATTAAAGTTGATTCTAAATTCACCACAACAACTCAAATGGTGAAATTAGTTTCCAGTCATACCATAAGCAGAATAATTCTACGCATAGGTGATCTGAAACGAACAAAAATGGTGAGAACAATAAATGTATTTTACAATAATAAATCAGTTCAGGCTGTTGTAGAATTGAAAAATAAACCGGCAATGTGGCATAAAGCTAAAAAAGTTACTCTAGCACAAGGTCAAACTGAAGTTAAAATGGAATTCCCTCTACCAATTGTTGCTTGTAATTTAATGATTGAGTATGCTGATTTTTACGAAAATATTCAAGCATCTTCAGAAACTCTCCAATGCCCTAGGTGTTCTGCAAGCGTTCCTGCAAATCCAGGAGTTTGTGCTAATTGTGGTGAAAACGTTTTCCAGTGTCACAAGTGTCGAGCAATTAATTACGATGAAAAAGATCCTTTCCTCTGTCATGCTTGTGGTTTCTGTAAATATGCTAAATTTGATTATACATTGACAGCTAGACCTTGCTGTGCTGTTGATCCAATTGAAAATGATGAAGACAGAAAAAAAACAGTAGCAACAATTAATACATGGCTAGAAAAAGCAGACAGAATTTATAAAACTTTGACATCTAACAAACCAACTTTAGAGATGTTTTTGATGAAAATAGCAGAACATAGATCGGATCGAGGAGTTGAGGATACTATTCAAGTATCTGGAAATATCCAAGTGAATCGCACAATTCAATTATTAGCTCAACGGTACTGTGGTGACTGTAAAACATCTTTTGAAGAATTAAGCAAAATAATCCAGAAAGTCATTGCTTGGCGAAGAGAACTAGTGGCTTATGACAGAAATCATAGAGGAGTACAAGTACCATTACCTAATTTAACAACCGAAAATGTTTCAAAGGAAGAAGTAGTTCCACGTACAGGGAGATGTTATGGATGTGCATCAGCAGCAACAGAACATTGTCTTACTCTTCTTCGTGCTTTGGCAACGAATAATGCTGCAAAAGAAGTACTTTGCAGACAAGGACTTATTCAAGAGCTTGTAGAACATAATTTACGACGAGGAACAGTTCATACCCAAGAAGAAGTGAGGCAGCTGCTTTGTCTAGTGACACGAGATAACATTCAATCAACTAAAGAACTTTGTTCGTTGCTAATGAATCGAATAACCATGACATTAAAGGGTAGAGTTGCTACTTATGATTTAGCAATGGCTTTAAGACACGAAATGGCTTTACTTGCTGCTTTGGTACAAAAAGAAGATTCTTGTTGGGAGCAAAAACTGCAATGTGTTATGCAACTATTCCTGCTGGCTTGTAAAGAATCAAAAAGTCCAGTGGTTATGGAGAGTCTTATTTTACCTTGTTTAAAAATTCTTCAAGGTCTTATCAAACCTGATCAACCAGTATCTAAGAAAAATAAAGACAAAACAATAGAATCTTTAGCTACAATTCAGCCTCCTGAAGATATTAGTATTGATATAGCAAAATGGCTTAATGGAGATTCTAAGCATTCATATTCTGAATGGGTACATAGAATGCCCGCTAAAAAATCTACTCCCGCTTCACATAAGTCTTTAAAAAAAGATGAAGCGAGAATAATATATTTAATGGAAAAGTATGGTCATCGATGGTATTATCGTTGTACGCGTTTGAGAGGAATTCAACCGCTTAAATTTATTGACGGTGCATGGTTGAAAGAGGTTCTTTTTAATCCCTCTTCAAGACTAGCTCGTCAAGTAGCTTGTAATATGGTGGAGAGTCTTTGTCAAGGTACGGAAAGAAAGAAGAAGATTCTGATTTTACTTACAACTTATTTAGAAGAATTGAGGACGGCTGGAGAAAGTAGTGCAGAATTTTTATCTTTATTTCAAAGTCTCATTCGTCAATCACCTTGGAAACAGTTCTTAGCAGTACGAGGAGTAATGACAACATTAGCAGATTTGTTGACACGTGAAATAGAAGAACTACATCAATTAGAAGAAACAACTTTAACAAGTGATTTATGTCAAGGGTACTCTCTGAAAATGCTAACTGAATTATTAGCGACATTTTTAGAACAAGAGAATATTAAACAGCAATATAAGGGTAGATTAGTTGGCGCAGTTCTGAACGGATATTTATCTTTAAGACGATTAGTGGTACAAAGAACTAGATTAATCGATGATACGCAGGAGAAACTTTTAGAACTTTTAGAAGAAATGACTTCTGGAACGGAAGAAGAAACAAAAGCATTCATGGCAGTTTGTGTAGAAACTGTTCAAAAGTATAGTCCACATGATGTAAGAACTCCTGTGTTTGTTTTCGAAAGACTTTGTTCAATTATTTATCCTGAAGAAAATGATGTTGGCGAATTTTTCCTTACTTTAGAGAAAGATCCACAGCAAGAAGATTTTTTGCAAGGAAGAATGCTTGGAAATCCTTACAGTAGTTTAGAACCTGGTCTTGGTCCACTCATGAGGGATGTTAAAAATAAAATCTGTCAAGATTGTGAACTTGTAGCTTTGCTAGAAGATGATACTGGAATGGAACTTCTAGTCAACAACAAAATCATTAGCCTTGACCTTCCAGTGAAAGAAGTTTACAAAAAAATTTGGGTTCATGAAGGAGGAGAATGTGATGCCATGAGGGTTGTTTATCGAATGAGAGGTTTACTTGGAGATGCTACTGAAGAGTTTGTTGAAACTTTAAATGCTAGTAGTGAACAAGAAATCAATAATGAAGAGGTTTATAAAATGGCCAATGTATTAGCTGAATGTGGAGGTCTTCAAGTGATGCTTGACCGCTTGGCTGCCATTCAAGACATAAGTCGTGCTCGACCTCTACTTCAAGTATTATTAAAATTATTCAGATTGTCGGTAAAAGTAAAAAAGAATCAAGAAGTTTTAAGTAGGCCTGAATTAGGAGCAGTAACCGTTCTTTTAGAGGTTCTTCAAAAATGTCTTCTTACTGAATCTGATAACACTCAAGCTAAAGTAACAGAACAGTTATTAGATATTATGGAAACAATTTTAGCTAATGCTACTTCTCAACCTATAGAATCGTTTGAAGAATTTTCAAAAACCCTTGGAGGACCAGAACATATCAAAGCTCTTATTTCTTGTACTCAATCAGCCGCAGTAAGACAAAGCACAAATGTTCTAATTCATCTTGCACGTGTTCTAGCAGCTCTTACTTATGGAAACCAAGAGAAAATGAGTGTCTTATATGAATATTTTAAGCCAGTACTCAATTTTTATGAATTCGATTATGAACATACACCAGATGATGAACAAAAATTGGAACTATTTTGCGTATTAACTCAAGGAATCGAAAGAAATGCAATTGGAAATACATTAAAAGACTATTTTATTAATATGGGAGTTGTTAAAGATGCTTTTGAATATATCACTGTCTATGCACCTTGTGTAAAACCAACATTACTGCGTACTGATAGTGATGAACTCAAAGAGTTTATTTCTAAACCAGCACTTAAATACATCCTCCGTTTCTTAACTGGTCTAGCAACAGATCATGAGCCAACTCAACTTGCAGTATCTCAAGTCACAATAAGTATAATTCATCGATTGGAACAAGTTTCATCAGATGAGCATGTAGGATCTCTAGCTGAAAATCTTCTTGAAGCACTTTGTACTAATAAAAAGGTAGCCGAATTGATAGAAGATGCTCGTCAGCATACAAGAAGTGAAAAGAAACGTTTAGCAATGGCAATGAGAGAGCGACAATTGGGTGCTCTTGGAATGAGAACAAATGACAAAGGCCAAGTTACTGCTAGTGGAACAATTTTACAACAAATGGAGGATCTTGGAGACGAAACTGGGCTCATTTGTGTTATTTGTAGAGAAGGATATAAGTTTAAACCAAACATGGTTTTAGGAATTTATACATTTACTAAACGTTGTAATATTGAAGAATTTGAAACAAAACAAAGAAAAACTATAGGATATTCAACGGTAACTCATTTCAATGTCGTACATGTAGATTGTCATATGTCAGCAGTACGTTTAGCAAGAGCAAGAGATGAATGGGAAAGTGCTGCTTTGCAAAATGCTAATACAAAATGTAATGGATTACTTCCTCTTTGGGGACCTTTAGTTCCGGAATCAGCTTTTGCTAGTTGTTTAGCAAGGCATAATACATATTTACAAGAATCAACAGGCCATAGAGATATTTCTTATACATCAACAATTCATGATCTGAAGCTTTTATTGCTCAGGTTTGCTCAGGAAAAGAGTTTCCATGATGATACTGGTGGTGGAGGACCTCAGTCTAACATGCACATGATTCCTTACTTGGTACATATGGCTTTATATGTGATGAACACAACTCGATCTGGAGGTAAAGAAGAACAGCAGCTATCAAACTATTTAAGATCTTCACCTACTTCAGCATGGCTGGATAGCTGTTACGAAGCTGAAGGGCCACTTTACCAAGCGACACTTTCTCTACTTGTGCACTCACCCACTCGTTGGGGAGAAGAAAGAATTGTTCATTTAAGGAGGCTTATAATTCTCGCTCATCAACGTCATATTTCTCCTTCAGGTCCCACTAAAACTGTTTCAGACATTACAGTCAAGGATTATTCAGTTTATAAAAGCGTTTTTGTTTTCTTTGGTCTCATTGATGCCATATATACATTCTTTTTCAAAAGTGCAACTTCTTCAGTTAAGATCACCTCTTCTCAACAATGGTCGACTACTTTGGCTGATTACATTAGAGAGAATGATGAAGCCTTGATGAAATCCTCTGAAAAAGTTCTTGCAAAGTATAGAGATGATTTACTACCGTGTGCGTCATTTGACGAATTTTGTGATGTTGCTGGTAAGTTTTTATTATCGTTATTATTATTATTGTTAATTCTGTTGAATAAACTATACATTCTAATGCTATAATAATTTTTTTTAAGGTCTACTTGATGATATTTCGGATCTTGCGTCATATATAACAGATATGCTACGAGCACTTGCTTGAAAGACACACAAAGTCATCTTTCCAGACTACATTTGATTAAAAATAAATTTATGAAAATTAATAAATTGTGACTAATTGAATTGGCTTTTTTAAATAAATATAAACTATTGTAATGCCTTTTTAAATGTAATAAAACGCTCGAGTATCATCGAAAATAGTATTGATGTCGATGGTGATTATTGTCTTGATTCTAAAATATTTCTGTGTATTCGCCTTTTCATTTATACATAGATTAAAATAAAATATAAAAATTTGTGCTTAAATAAAATATTTGCAAACATGATAAATATATTAATGTTTTTTATTTTTAATTTTAATAATTGGCATTATTCAAGCATTAATTAATATTAATTTAAAAAATAATAACTATTAATATTTATAAAAGTTATGAAAACTTAGTCAAAAAATAATTTATTCACAAACTTCAAAAAAAGACTTAATGCACGTATTATGAATTTTTATTATAAAACGATTGTGTAATATATTTTGAGTAATTATATAAAATAATTTTCATTTGTTTACAGTATTTTTTAAAAATTTATACAGACAAAGTTTGATATTAAATTTTATTATAAAGTTATTCACGTATCACTTTTCCATAATTTAATGGTTTTATCGTTTTCTAAAGCTGCTGAAGCAATGATGTTATCAGTTGGATGACATGTTGTACAGAGAACTACATCAGTATGCCCTTGAAGTTTTTGAACAATTTCTTTCGTTTGCAAGTTCCAAATATAAACCATATTGTCTTCTGAGCCAGAAACTATCCACTGAATAATAAAATAAAATTAGTTAACCAGAACTAATTTAAAATATTTTGTAATAGTAAATATAATGATTTTTGTTACGTACTTTTCCTCCTGTTACAGAAAAATTCGCAAAAATACAATATTTCTCATTTCTATGACCTGTATACGTTTTAAGACATTTTCCTTTACTGTAATCCCAAAGTTTTAATGTATTATCTAACGTTGCTGCCAGTATATATTTTCCGTTTGGTGAAAATTTAACAAACGACACAGGAGGATTGTCATCATCGATTAAAGTTTTCAGACACTGCCCCGAAGCCGTATCCCAAATTCGACTGAAACAGAATAATATATCTTTTTATTATCAAATAATTTAATAAATTTATTATTGTAAAAATTTACCATAATCCATCATAACTGCTAGATACAATTAATGACCCGTCTCTATTGAAATGAACAGCACTCACTGGATCAGAATGCGCGGGTAATGTTTTCAAACATTTTCCCGTACGAACGTCCCATATTTTTACGCTTTCATCAAACTAAAAACAATCAATTAAATAATTAAAAATATTTCCGTAAATTACTGATAAAATAGAAATAATTTTACTTTTCCTTACCGATCCAGAAACAATAAGATTAGATTGCGGGTTGAAGTTACAACAAAAGACGTAATTACTATGTCCTTTTAAAGTTTTTAAACATTTACCCTAAAATAGCCGTAAAAATGGAATAATAAATAAGTAAACAATATAAAATAATAATTCTAAAGAATCACACAAAAAAGTAGTTACCGAACTAAGCTCCCATATTTTCAATGTTTTATCATCAGAAGCTGAAACTAATAATCTACTGTCACTAGACCACGCAACATCGGAAATTCCTAATTTATGTCCAGCTATAGTTTTTTCAAATTTTCCATCATAGGAACCCCAAATTTTTATCAGCTTATCAGCAGCTGTAACATTGAATAATAACGTTAGTTTATTTGAACATAAAACAATAAAAACAGACAAAAATAAAACTCACAAGAGCTAGCAAGCCACTCTCCATTAGGACTGAATTTTACTGAAGATACAGCTTTAGTATGACCAGCAAGAGTGTATTTTAATGTATAATTAGGTTTCTGTAATAGCAAATAGTATTGTTAAAAAAAAATATTAATTTTAATAATATAATGCAATTATTGATAATCTCACCACAGCAGAACTTCCTTTTGAAGTTGCACTTGTTGGAGTAGAATTATTCATAGATGCCGGATGCCCCGGAGAAGGTCCTAATGGAACCATCGTTATTTAAATAATCTAAACACTAATTTAACTTTAAATTATTGTGAAAAAAAACAAAACAAAATGTTTAGAAGAGATAACCTCTTCTAAAGCGGCTTTACAGTAGTTTAATTCTGCTGAAATTTTACTCTTTGCTATAATCACATTATAAAACTTTTGTACTGTTAAATTATTATGGATGATAATTTTGTATAAGTTAAAAATTAAATAGGATTTTAAAAAAATAATAGTATTAATCAATGCACCAATACAGGAGGCAAAACAGCTTGTTTCGAAGGAATTTTTAACTCGATTATGCAGGGCCGAGCCTATGGTGTCACTACTGTCTATTGCTATAGTCAGAACCATTTTTAATGTACACTCGGCGTCATTAAGGCTGGGCTGAAGTCAGAAAGGCGACTGATTCCCCCTATCCAAATATATGGGTTCGGGAAATTTCTAATTTCTTCGCCAATTTACGATTATTTCTATAAAATTAGGTACCAAATTACAGAGGAATTAATGCCGGACTGACGTAAACAACAATTTTTTGTATGTAGTGAATATTTTTATTAAAAAAATTAGAAAGAATAATGAAAAAATTATGAATTGACTTGCCGCGCTTAAATTTCAAGATGGCGGCCACATCATTCAGATGAAAAATCACTAATTATTTCATTTTTATACGTTTTTCGCCCAAAATTCGTGTTTGCGTCAGTCCTTGCCACCTGTCTGAATGTCAAAAAAATCAATTCATAGTATAAAATTGAATAATTTAGAAATAATTAGAAATCTTGTATTCCAGATGATATTCTCCGGAAAATTAGTTTGAAAAAATTCTGATAGGTGACAGCATTATGCTCGCAGATGACCTCAGTCATTCATATTGAAAAAATGCTCAATCCGTATCCAGAACTGATGGTGCCCTGCATTTTGGTGAGTAATTTGTGTATGAGTGTGTACGGGTAATATATGTATGTGATGTAAACATAGTGTATCGCTTTACAATGCCTTATACTTTGATGACTATTGCAGTTAGAATAAATAAAAATGATGATACTCATTTAACATTAATTAATATAATACCTGAAAATAACTTCAACAAATATTCATCCATTATCATCATTTTTATTAGGTATAAATGTTAATAAAGAAGCTCAATTCCAAGTCGGCGTATCCAAGCATGTAGTATAAAAACAAATACACATAAACTCAATATCGAGATTATGCTGGCCATGTGGTTAGAGCGTCAGAGTTCTATTTTGCCGGGCAGGGTTCGATCCCAGTCATAATCACTTTTTTTCTACTTTATTCGTTAGATTAGCATGTGATTACAATATTGACACGCCATAATTATTCCTTTATAACGATTTGATTTTTTTTTCTCTTTACTCATTAAATTTATTGACGCTAAGTCGGAAAATATTTAAACAGAGCCATAAACTTTTTTTTTGTATAAATACATTGATAATAGCCTGTGTTTAACAACTTATACATCTTTACATATATTAACAATTTTATGTTATTAAAATGTTATTAACAAGTTAATCATATTATTATTAACATTGAAAAGTAGTTCAAACAATCTGTGGCGAGTACCGGCACTTCCCCGGCAAGCTCTACCCCCACTTTCTGTGCCCAAGCCTGCAGCTTATAATTTTTAAGCATATATAATTATATTGAAACCATAATAGCTCAGTGGTTACAGCATCGATCTTTTATTTGGCTAAGCAGGGTTCGATTCCAGTCATGATAAAGTTTTTTTTTTCTTTTTCATTTGTTAGATTTGCATGTAATTATAATATTGACATGCTAAAATGAATTCTTACTAAAGATTTGATTTTTTCTTCTTAATTATTTATGTAATTTATCGACGTCGAGTTGGAAAACATATGAACAGGGTTATTAACACTTTTTTTTACTATAGCTATATGAACGTAGCTTTCTTTTAAGCAGTTTAGAAATATTTAGAAGTAGTTGAAATAATCCACGGGAATTTCCGGCACTTCGCCGGCAAGCTCTATCCCCACCCTTCGTACTCAAGCCTGCAGCTTATAATTTTGAAGCATCGTTAATATTGTTGGAATCATATATTATAATAGCTCCAAAGAATACAGACCCATAGAAGCCCAGGGCAATAGGATTTAATGTCGCAGTAGAACGCTCAGTACTAACTGCGACCACAGATGTCGCAGCAGTCCAAATGAGTAGGCTGGAGATGGAGTGGCCAGCAGTCGTTGACCAAACGTCAATCGAACCAGTATTGAGTCAGTATGTAGATGAATGTTTGAATTTTTAGGTGATTTAGATAGCAGTAAACAATGATAACATGGATGAAAAAATTCATTAAAGAAACAACTAGGTAAACCACTAATCAGAGCCAGGTTATATTTCCGAAATTCTCGACTATTTCCAATTAGGATATCGCATTTTAAATAATGCAAATTTCGAATAAATGACAATGGAACATGATTTTTTCATCTTTTATAATTGAGAATTTTTTTAATTATCAACATTGAAGAATAAAAAATGGCAAAATTATGAATATCAGTCTGATGTAGAATTCTGTATAATTAAAATATCGAAAAGTCGGAAATCAAGCTCGCAGGCAATTATGAGAGCGTCCATTTTAGGGGAAAAAGTGCTTAAAACATAACTTTTCCATCTTTGAAAATTAATTACTTTGTCAATTATTAAGATTAAGAAATCAAAATTAGCAGAATTATACAAAATAGTCTAATGTATAATTCTGTATAATTAAAATAATGAAAAGCCGCGAATCAAGCTCGCGGCATTAATTATAATCGCAGCATAAAGGACATAAAAAACAATATTTTTTGCAAGAGGACAATAAATTTTAGTGATCTCCAGGTAATAATGTTATATATTCATAATCGGTAATAAAACATCTAAGAGTAGTGCCATAACATAAATTTCACACTATTCGATGTACCACCTAACCTTACTTACTAGATTGTATACATTTTTCTTGTAGACGAAGTCTAATTAACAAAATATTATCAACTCCTGGTAGAGTTTTAAGAGTGAGACTTTTTTCTAAATTCTTATAATTTTTTATGAATAAGCGGGGAGCCTATTCTTTTTATTATCCATCTCAAAAAGTTGAGAAGTCACGAGTACAGTGGTCTATCTTGCGGTAGAGACTATACTACAGGTAGTTTAGTAACTTTAGGTTAATCGGTCATTTCAATAAAAATGGAACCTGTCAGCAGAACATTCACTATTTATCGTTGAAACAAACTAAAAATAAGATTTATTAATTTTGAAATTTTCTTTTCAAGATGGAAATTGAATACTACCGTTTTGAATGGAAGGTCGGTACAGCACCTATGGATAATGAGGAGAACGTGATGGTAACTTTTTTTTCGAATATTTTTTTAATAAAAATTTTTAGGACAATATTAATATCACTAATTTATTCATGTTAGATCGATGATGCTTATAATATCCACTGCATAAAGAAGCATCCATTTTACGTCACAATTGAATTGCCCCGTACACTTATAGGACCTCGACTTATAATCTTCAGTTTGATCAATTCTTTATTACATAGTCAACTCATTGAACGCTGTGAAAAGCATACTAAATCTGATCGATTAACACAATTATGTCATAAAGCACTCCCATTAGTCATACATGAAGATCTTTCTCCGATGCACGGTTTACGAAAATCGGACGGAATTTAGAGCTCAAATAGCTAGAATATAGTGAACGACGAGAAATGGCGAATTTCCCGCGATTACAGTCTATTCAAATTGATTTTAGAGATAGCGTACTGGCTGAAAAAATAGTAAAAAACATCTTAAAGGATTTACAAGAATCGGTTGACACCAGAAATGTAGGAACTATGTCAGCTATCAATCAATTCCGTCCGATTTTCGTAAACGTGCATCGGCAGAATTTTTATTGGAACGTCTAATTCTTCATTTAATACGCATACCATGAGACTAAATGGTTTTCGAGTACATTTTGATGAACACTTGATGGCAACAGGAATTCCATGTACTTGCTGTTGCGGTGGCAGTATGATTGCAACACTCCCATTCTCGGCATACCTATAAGGGTAATCCGAAGAAAGATCTTCATGTATGACTAATGGGAGTGCTTTATGACATAATTTTGTTAATCGATCAGATTTAGTATGCTTTTCACAGCGTTCAATGAGTTGACTATGTAATAAAGAATTGATCAAACTGAAGATTATAAGTCGAGGTCCTATAAGTGTACGGGGCAATTCAATTGTGACGTAAAATGGATGCTTCTTTATGCAGTGGATATTATAAGCATCATCGATCTAACATGAATAAATTAGTGATATTAATATTGTCCTAAAAATTTTTATTAAAAAAATATTCGAAAACCATTTAGTCTCATGGTATGCGTATTAAATGAAGAATTAGACGTTCCAATAAAAATTCTGCCGATGCACGTTTACGAAAATCGGACGGAATTGATTGATAGCTGACATAGTTCCTACATTTCTGGTGTCAACCGATTCTTGTAAATCCTTTAAGATGTTTTTTACTATTTTTTCAGCCAGTACGCTATCTCTAAAATCAATTTGAATAGACTGTAATCGCGGGAAATTCGCCATTTCTCGTCGTTCACTTAATATTCTAGCTATTTGAGCTCTAAATTCCGTCCGATTTTCGTAAACGTGCTCGGAGAAAGATCTTCATGTATGACTAATGGGAGTGCTTTATGACATAATTGTGTTAATCGATCAGATTTAGTATGCTTTTCACAGCGTTCAATGAGTTAGACTATGTATAAAGAATTGATCAAACTGAAGATTATAAGTCGAGGTCCTATAAGTGTACGGGGCAATTCAATTGTGACGTAAAATGGATGCTTCTTTATGCAGTGGATATTATAAGCATCATCGATCTAACATGAATAAATTAGTGATATTAATATTGTCCTAAAAATTTTTATTAAAAAAATATTCGAAAAAAAAGTTACCATCACGTTCTCCTCATTATCCATAGGTGCTGTACCGACCTTCCATTCAAAACGGTAGTATTCAATTTCCATCTTGAAAAGAAAATTTCAAAATTAATAAATCTTATTTTTAGTTTGTTTCAACGATAAATAGTGAATGTTCTGCTGACAGGTTCCATTTTTATTGAAATGACCGATTAACCTAAAGTTACTAAACTACCTGTAGTATAGTCTCTACCGCAAGATAGACCACTGTACTCGTGACTTCTCAACTTTTTGAGATGGATAATAAAAAGAATAGGCTCCCCGCTTATTCATAAAAAATTATAAGAATTTAGAAAAAAGTCTCACTCT